AATTACAATTAACAAATCATTTCCAACTCTAAACCATTTCCCACAAGTTCATGTAGAATCCCATACTTCCATAAGCTCTTGTAGAAAACCGTTTCTAGTACAATAAATCATTTCCAACCGTAAACCAATTCCCACAAGTTCTTGTAGAGTCTCATACCTCCACAAACTCTTGTAAGAAATTTTTTTTGGTACAATAAACCATAACCACAACTTGTATTCATATCTCAAGTATGGTGCATGATTCGCATGAATAAACACATCGAGAATATCCTGCCTCACACACACACACCTAAATACTCGGCAAGGATATCCAACCTTTTGGAAGGGTGTATACCAACTCATGGTAGTGACGAATCCAACTCAGGAATAGTATACTGCTCCTTCTCCTCAGTACCCATAAGCGAATAGTGGTTTGGTCCTCACAAGGCACCAACCCCACTACGAGTGGTAAGAAATATTCAAACCTACATGGAGTAAGAAACACATTTATCCACTCTACGATACCAGGTTAACAGCCACCCATGGTAATCCCAACATCCTCAAGAGATACAATCCAATTCCAAAATTCCCAAATTTTCATGTAGTATTACTATAAAACAATCGAAGAAAAATAAGCAAGAGATCATCAATCATAACAATTTATTGTTCAATATAAAGAACTAGAGTTTTTAAATCAAAAACAAAGGAAGAATGAAGAGGAAAAACCATTTGTTTTTTGAAAACTAGGATGTTATACCAAGAAAAGAGATTTCATGGTTTTCTACTCTAACTTTGTTTAAAACATGGTAATTTTTGAAAGAATATCAAGAATCAAGGTTTTTCATGCATATATATAAGCTTGAAAGTCAAAACATGTATATATATACGCCCTAGCATCAATGGACAAGAATGGAAGAACCCCTACCTTGGCGTTCTTGAAGAAATCTATGGTTTTGATTCAATCCAAGGCGCAAATCTCTTTTTATCTTGTGTTCTTCTTTTCCTTTCTTCCTCTCCAAGGTTTTCTAGGGTTTGAGGTGTTGAAAATGGGGCTAAATGGGATGTTTTTATGTATTTATAGGGGAAGGAATCGGACCTAGATCGTGACTTAAAATTTCTTGAATCTGTCGGGCGTACCGGTACGGTATGGCTACTGGTACGCGTACCAGTACCCTTTGGCAGTTTTGCCCCTTTTCCCGTTTTTCATTTCCAATCCACTTTTAACCCTTCCAAAACCAACTCAAACTTATACAACATAAATTTGTTCATCAAATATAGTTGGTATAAGTTCTATTACAAACGATTTCATATATTACCCGGGTTTTACCATATTAGCATTTAAAAAATAAATGATTACTTTCTATATAAAGATAAGAGTGTGGGGGTTTACAAAACAATAACACAACAACTTCTTAGGTTAGTTGGTGGTATTAACCATAATACAACTTCTTAGGTTAGCTGGTTATATAACGATCGAGTAATCCTAATAAACTAGAAGATCAAGCCATTCATGAGTATCATTTGAATTATTCGATTGACTTTATTATAGTAACTATCAGTTAAACAACCCTAATAAATTAGAAGGTCAAGTCATTCATGAGGATCATCTAAGTTATTCATCTGACAACTTTTATATCTCACCACAGCGAAAATTATTTTTTGCGACGATTTTTTTCGTCGCTAAATTAGAAAAATTCATCGCCTTTAATTATTTGCTATGTTTTTTTTTCGTTGCGTGTTCATTGCAATAGACTCGTAGTAGAAAGTAATTTGTGACGCACTTTTGTTTTTGTTGCTAAAAAAAAATTTTGCGGCAAAAAAAAACGTTGTTAAAAGTTAAAAAAATGTAGCTTCAAATCTATTCCACGAGCGTAAAAAAAATTAAAAAAATAATTTAATTAATTTTTCGCAATGCAAAAAATTGTCGCAAATAAGTGTTTACGTAAATAAAAAATGCAAAAAATAATAATTTAAATAATTTTTTCACGATGTAAAAAAATCATCGCCAATAAATATATACATAAATAAAAAATAGTAATTTAATCAATTTTTAGTGACGTAAAAAAATCGTCCCAAATAAATTTCTATATAACAAAATGTAAAAAAAATAATAATTTAATTAATTTTTTCTCAACGTAAAAAAATTGTCACAAATAATTTTTTACATAAATAAAAAAAGTAAAAAATAATAATTTAATTAATTTTTTGAGACATAAAAATATCTTTGCCAATAAATTTTTACATAAATAAAAAATGTAAAAAAATTAATTTAATTAATTTTTATCCATGTAAAAATATCGTCGCAAATAAATTAAATTTTGCATAAAAAAATGTTAAAAAATAATAATTTAATTAATTTTTTGCGATGCAAAAAAATTGTCGCAAATAATTTTTTACATAAATAAAAATGTAAAAAATAATTTAATAAATACATTTGAAACGTATAAAAAGAGTCGTGAAAAAATATTGTTCGTACAATTTTTGGCTACGATTTTAATTTCGTCGCAAAAAAAGTTTATTTTTAAAAAAAAATAACCCTACTTAAAAAATGGTATTTCAATAAAATTTTTAACCTGTACACCAATTATACCTGTGTTCAATAAAAAACTAAAACAATTAATACATTTCACATCTTTTCCATTCAACAACTAACACCAAATACCATACTAACAAAAACATAAACACCAAATCACTTCTGTGTAAAAAAAATAGAAGAAATTTATTGCATCAATCCCAAAAATTACAAGAGTCAAAAACATAAATTGTTTTAACAGAAAACAGTAACTGCTTTAACAGAAAAACAGAAAAAATTATTACAAAATTCTGTTACAAGAATCAGACAAAGCAGCTAAACAACTCCTGTACACCTGCTACATTTTCTGATCCTCAAAGCTCAATCTCTAGAAACAGCTAGAAACAGTACTCCTGAGCAAAAAATTAATAGGTAGAATGCAGCACATCACAGAGTACAGCATATCCTAGACTGCTGTACCAACCTCTGCTTGACCAAAACTCCAACAAAATTCTAGGTACAATAACTGGCTTTAATCCTTCAAAAGGATTAAAACCATATATCTAGCTCTTTCAGACCAACTGTCCAATCTTTAAGACCAATGCAGACTTAGCTCTAGGCTTTGATCAGAAAAAACTATAATTAGCAGCAGCATCTTCCAAAGCAAAGTTAGGAAATCTTTATACATAGAAGAGACAAACACATCTCTTAGAAAATATGACCAAAACCTATACAATTTGTTCATTTCCTGCATGCAAAGAGATATGTACACCCATTGAGAAATCATCGCAAGCTCCTTAACATATACAAGCATAAAGCAAAACTAAGTTCAAACAAGTTTGCCCATGTGTGTATGTGACAATGTGTGTGTGAGTGGGAGAGTGTGTGTGCGTGAGAGAGAGAGAGAGAGACCAAAAGACCCACAATACTTCAACAAGTTCTATCATTGAAACGTATAAAATTGGTGTTTCTGCATGCCTATTGAATTCATATGTTCCTATACACTTCCTAGGGCATTTGAAGCAAAAAACCACCACTCAAAATGGGGCCACTAAACAAATATGATGTTTTACCATCCTTCACACAATATTACACACTCCATGTTAAGGATCCTCCCACTATGGATGTAGCTGCAAAACATAGTAATATCCTTTTTCCCTTACTGAAGTATCTTGATTACTACACAATGTTGATTCTTGTTATGTAGTAATGAAAAACTAAGCTAATGGAGCAAAACCTAACGGTATAAAAAATTTTACATATAAAAAAATTAGAAAACCTTAATCCTTCTTGTTGCCTAAGCGAATTACAAATCATGCCAAATATATTACTAATAACTAAGTATACAACATCTATATTAGGCTTGTAAAAAGTAGGATTGTTGGAAAAATATATTATAAACTCCACAAGCCTCATCACCAGTACTTTGGACAGGTTAGAGGAATTCTGTTTTGCCAACCTACTTTATCTAAGATCATAAGCTTAAGCCATTTACAAATTATGCCAAATATATCATGAATTTGTAAATAGACAACATCTATATTAAGCTTGCAAAAAGTAAGGTTGTTGTAAAAATATATTATAAACCCCACAAGCCTCATCACCAGTCCTATGGATTTAGATGAATTCTATTTTTCCAACCTACCATATCTAAGGTCATATCCTATCTTAAAACACAACAAAAATTTTTTCTTTGCAAGCTCCATCCACATTAATCTAAACCCAACCCGTCCCCTAAGCCTAGCAACTTCGATGATCATGCCACTTTCATGTTGACATGGTGGCATGCAGTACAAATGTCCAAACTATCTTAGTCGACTCTCTCAAAAGAAGGCTTAAGATTTATCCCAAACAAAAGTATATTTCTCCAGACGCAAAAGCAATAAAAACTATGAAGCTCAAACATAATGCCTTTCTAAAAGAATAAAGATTCTCAGACGAATTGAGAGAGAGAGACACCTCACTGTAACCAATACCCAACTTCTTTCATTCACTTAGACACCTCTTCTGATACTTTAGGCACCTAAAATGGAAGAGAAACAAAGTAAGCCAATTTAAAAGAAATGACAACCTTATGAACACAGACACATGTGCCCACACAAACTCCCACAATATGACAATCCCCTTACTTCTGCTGTCGAAAACCATTTTCTTCTAGAAGTTGATGACTTGGACGCTAGAAAGGTGGAAATGGCTTTGGCATGGAACCCACAGGTGGACTACTGCCAGAAAGATTGCCATGAGGAGAAGCACTTAACTTTTAAGACCTTAGGCTGCAAGGTTACAATTTATATTTGAATTACCAAAAAAGAGAGTAGCATAATTAGTTAAACAACTTAGAAACAGTGTGTTTAGCACTTTAGATGTCCCATCCTTAACTATGATCTAGAAAGTTCATTTTTCGCTCCACAAAGCAAGACAAATACTTCCAAATGCTAACCAAAAAAAATTACTTTATATGAACCAAGGGATCAACAATGATAACAGGAATTAATTATTCGCAACTCACCCATGATTGTTAGGAGGTGTAGAACCAAAGAAATCCCAACTGAATTACTAGGTGGACTCTCAGATATCATGTCCTGAAAATTACGACCAGTTCCGTGAATTTTAAAGTTACTAAAGAATAACCACTGCTTCTGAACTGATTGTTGCTTGGAAAAGCCTTTATTTTGCTTCTTCCGAGAATTAGAATTTCCAGGCCCTTCATAGCCACTGCCTCTCGTGGAATGATCAGAAGCCCTTGCATTTGATACTGTTGAAGCAATGCCAGAAGATCTAGATTCCCCATCTCTGCTGCCGTAGCTTGAGTTGTTTCTTCTACAATTAGACCGCTTTGCTTTTAGTTCCTGACAGTAACAAGCTTATTTTTGGTATTTGAAAAATGAATGGAGGATGAGGCAGAAAATTCCTAATGTGAAAACACGCCTATAAACCTACTTATAAAAGTATAGGCCATCATTTAGAGCTGAAGCAAGCTCATGGGATATGGATTTTGACTCTTTCACATCAGTTCCAGTGCCTTCACTAAGCCGGCTATTATGCAGCAAAAAATAACCACAAGTCATCAAATGTACAGTGATTAACTACATAAAAAAATATAGAAAAATACCACATTGATAGAAACTTTAATTAAACATCAAAATACCTCCCCCACTAGATTTAAATAATAAGGAAATTAAGTTTGGAACTAGTCCAGGAATCAAACAATAAGTAGTAAAGAAACAATGGGACAAGAAAGAAATGTGTGCTAAAGCAAACTTGATACACATGCAGCAAAAAAGAGATATTTCTATGAATAGATCTTTAAGATTTGAGAAAAGCAATTTTTCATGTATGGAAAAACTTGTTCATGTTGTAATTTGGCAGGAAACTCACCAACTGCTATTATATTAAGAAGTAGCAGTTTTTTAGCGCTAGTGTGGAAACTATTCCCTTTTCAAGACATTCAGCAGCCAAAGGAGTAAGGGACTTCAAAATCGATCTTGTTCAGGTATCTTAAACTGGAATAATTGCCAATGAACAAAAGAATTCTTCATAGAACAGTAAATCCCTAATCACGTCTTCTTGGCTGACTATGGATGGAGGGGTGAACAAGATTCATAGACAAACTAATCACTCGAAGGAAGAATTTTGGCTTAAATTATTCTCTAGATGCACTCTCCCTAGTCACCATACAGAAAAAGAAAACCCAACTCCCTTGTAGCATCCAACACTTTTATCTTCTCAACTCTCTGGAATCTCCATGTTCTAACCATCCACTCAAGCATTTGACTAGTCTTCATACAGCAATACTCCAAACAAAAGATCAAACAAATATAATCTAACATGGGTCATTCGGTAATAACAACATTTATCGTAGCATATTTTTCTCAAAAATAAAGAAATAAATTAAGTGCTTGACCATTATCATTTTTCAAACATTCTTATGGTTCCCTAGAACAATAGAATTAACACATGAACAGACCGGTACAAACATAACAAAGAACAGCATGCTTGAAAATACATGACAACAGAATAAATCAACTAAGACCATAATGATTACATGAGTTTGAAGAACAAAATTTGCACAAAAACAAATTACAAAGATATGGATAACACAACAACCTTACCTGGGTTACAATTACAAGTCTCTCAATAGCCTGATCATTGACAATCATCTCATTTTCTTCATCATCAATCCTTTAGACAGTAATGCCATTCAGATACAAACAAGACAGTCAAGGGTCACAAGTTATTACATAAGTGAAGTCTATAAGCAACATTACACAAACTTTAAATCAATGTTGCAACCTCTCTGTTGACGATCCCTAAATATCATGTAAGCCGACTAAAGTAAACTAAATTAGGAAAATTTATTTAAAAGATCAACAAATATGCCCTTAGCGTAAATTACAAGAGATTTGAAGAAATGATCTTACAACCAACTCAAGACTAAAAACTTCTGCCATAAAAGAATTCTAATATCAATAGCCTATTTGCAAAAACAAATGCTTCAAATCTCGCAAAAAAACATAAAGTACATACAAGAAAGACAACACAAGGGAAATGATGGTCCTATTAACAAAGCAACCAAAAATAATCATAACTAAAAAACCTCGTGACAGTAAGCAATTTAAATTAAGAACTATCCTCAACGTGAACAAGTAGATACTGTGAAGCGAAAAAATTCGAGGAAACTCCAACAGATCAAGCCTATGTTTTAAGTAGTGAAAAATTCTCTTAATTCCAGAGGTTGCTCAAATTAGAGAACCAAACAACTTAAAAATCAACAAAATTAAAAGCAGTTCTATTAAGGCCCAGTGGCAACACAGTAGGTGGAGGTTCGAAACAACCAACTGATTGCCACTTGGGAGAAATGCATGGTCACGCAAGTTCCAATTGTCAATGGTGCTAAAGCAAGACCAAGAAGAATGTGGGATAAGAATACAAAGAGAAGGCCACAACTACCTTGGATTTAACAATGGAATGACTTTATAAAGTACTGATCAAATAAGGCGAATCAATGTAGCTAATGCCAAGATATTGGGATAACTACATATTCATTTGAGTTCAGTTACAAATTGTCATTCTGAAGTTCCAAAACATTGATGAAACAATTTTTATCCAACTGGCAAATGCTCTGACCAAACTATTATTTCCTTGATAGGGTTGGCACAAGATCCCAAATAGAGCTGAACAGAGAAAAATAATTTAAGGCTTTGTAAGGTTGATTTTAGTTCACTCCTTCCTCCATTTGTGCATGGTAGATTGCTTTCTTTTCTTGCTTTGCTCGAACCCACTTCCAATGTTATTCACTTACTTTTTCAAAAAAAAAAAAAACTCCTGTCCCATGAAAAGGCCATAAAATTTTAAAATTAGAAAAATGAAACACTAGTCAAATTTATACGGTGCTTTACTTAAAACTCGATCCCTTGTACCTATAACTTTAGATATCTTCTGCATTGAATCTAAAATACATTTTAAAAAAATGAAAATCCATGTAAATGAAACAAAATATGACACTACATTGACCAAACAAAAAGCCGATTTCAATCTTCAAAGTGCTGGAAGCCACCACGAAGGGACTTCCGCCATCTGTTAAGAATAGGCAACTGAGAGAGCAATGCAAAGGCAATAAACCAAGAATTGAGAAGCACAATATTCAAAACTTGGAGTAAAGAATACATCAAGCACAAAGGAAAAAAATATAGTACCTCCTTACTGAAGAAAGATGATATTTTTTGACTATTTTTTGCTCAAGTTACAGCTCTTCATCAAACATGAATGTGCTTACAAAATCAAGAGATTGGTCATCCAGATTCTGTTATGCAAAATTTGAAGACACCTTTAGGTTTTCATGGTCAACAAACTTTTCATGCCCAGTTTCAAGAGAAAGTTCTTGACCAGGTGAACCATCAATAGTGTTCAGATCTGCAGGCTGGATATTTGACTCGAAATTCAATCCAATACTTAGGTCGCCATTTCCTCCAATAAATGTTTGAGTTCCACCATCAAAGAGGATCTTATCCCTGTTGTACTCTGCATTACTATTCACCAATACTTTTTGAGTTCTATTTCTGGCAATGAGTGCTCTACTGAACTTTCATTTTTTGAAGGACACCCATCAGTCCCTTCAGAGGTGCACCTTGTAACACCTTCACTCAACTCAATAGACTTTAAAGCACTAATAAGCTTATCTGCAGGTTGTCCTTCTGGAATCAGAGTTTCTGAGGACGATTTGTGCTCTGCAGAAGCTGGAACCCAGTTTGACCACCCATCACGTCTTCTTACCTTGTCACCCTATAGAAATAAAACTCAACCCAGGTGAAGGGAAGGCTATTTGGACAAAAAAGCAAAGCATCTTCTAAGAAAGAATCTAGAAAAGCAAAAAACCCAAAAATATATGCCATAAATGTGTGTGTTTTGGAGGGGCGGGGCTCGGTGTGGGTGGGGAAGGAGGAATACAAAATATAGCGAAAAATTCCAACCTGCACTTCAATGGTATGTGAACTCTGTAAAGCATCCAGGATAAATGGTATGTCTGAACTGATTCTTTTGACCTTCAACCAAAATTTGAGATTAACTAATGACAAGCCTATAACATTAGTATTCAAACAACAGAAGAACGACTAAGTATGTCAGTATATTGAACCAAGCTACATATGAAAAAAGGATAAGGGAAGCAAATTTAAATACCAGGTGTATAAAATACAAGCAGGTATAAAACATGTTGCACTTGCATATGAGTGATAAAACTATGGCGCCCCTAAAACTTGGGGTCCCGTTAATCACTCGTCAACCCGCAAAAATATCTGTGATTATCGCATAACCCGACATCACGTCTATCACATTCCTATAACCGAAATTAAAACATACACGAGGAGCCATGTTTTCTTTTATCATTTAATCCTATCGAGGTTCAATATACCCTAATGTATCTCATTTAAGATCCATTTGTGTCATTAGAACCCAAGAACACATAGCCCTAAAGTATGACAACGCATTCTTAAAATTTTAGATTTTTTGAAAACCTTCCGAAAGGTTTTGTTATGGACCTTTCGGAAGGTTTACTCATTGAAAAATTTATTCCATAAAGTTTTATGGATCTTTCAATAGGTTTTACCTACTGGACTAATTTCTCCCGAAAGATTTTATTTATCTTTCGGAAGGTTTGCCCACTGGATACCAATTTAGATACACCTTCCAGAAGGTTTTTCATGGACCTTCCGAAAGGTTTTGTCTACTGGACCAAAAGTTTGCATTAACCTTCCGGAAAGTTGTTGTGACCTTCCAAAAGGTTTTACCCAGAATTTTATGTCTCTTCAGGTTTTCATTTTCAATCCACTCAAAACCTTTGCAAATCCATTCCAAACATGTATAATAACATTTTCTACATCATAAATGATCCATATAAGTTCTATTACAAGCATTTGCATAATTTACATGTCCAAAACGACATTTAACCAAAGTTTTACAACAACTTGTCTCCAAAAACCACAAACCAATTTTTCTTCACCCTCGAGGCCCCGAGTGCGAGTCCTCTCCCCGTATGAACCCCGCACCTGAAATGTTTCCTGTATAAAGTGAGACAATGCCCAATAGAAAATTTCCTACAAAGGCTACTCCCCAACCTAAGTGCATATGCAATGCTCATATACAACATTCACAATCATTCCAATCAAGAATATACATGTTTCATGTTGGAATCTACCATGTCATGCCCTGAATGAAATGAGATTCACTCATGCACCTCAATCCAGGCCTTCATCGGCTCTCACTACACTATGCAAATGCAAGTGTAAAACCTTTATCTTTGATGACGTACATCCAAAGATCATTTTGAAACAAGACTCATGTGTTCATAAAAACCAATTCATTTCTGGATGTTTCCCATCAAATGAATCATTTGTACAACCAAAACCATGTGTCTTTATTTAGGTAGTGGACTTTTAGTGTTGCACCGCCAGCTCCACACACCGATACACTTTTTTGGACTTGCACCGTCGGAAGTGTATAAATCAATAGTCGGGCCTTGCACCTGAGGAGGGATCTATCCCTTCTTGTTATACCCGACACAAGGTTTTTCATGAATGCAACCGTGCGACTCAGTAGAATATTCAACCTCACTTTCCTAAGCCCTCTCATCAAACACCAGGTGTGATGTTTGATTCAACCATGCACTCACACACTCGTACTCATGGTCATGGATGTGTATTCCCCATGCAAATGCAATGTAATGCACCATTGCAATGTCTATGTCATACTCATATGCAATGTATGTCAAATGAGTCATTTAACCAAGTATCCACATATAACATGGCAATTAATATCAATTGTATATAATTACCAAAAATTAACATGTTGCTAAAATATTAACAACACAAAGCATCAATCTACCATTCACAAGTTTGTTATACATAATCATGCTATAACAACTTAATTTTCACTTAGGCATTCTTTGCAAATTACCTTCAAGACTCAATATTTCCCACATCATTCACAATGCATAATATTAAACATATAGCATGCCCATAAAATTACTTTTAATGGAATTACCAACCAAGCAATTTTCATATCTCAATTTCAAGTTAGAAAACCTATTCTAACCCTATTCAATACCCCTTTTCACACCTATTTCATCTATTTAATATGCATCGGTGAGTGATATATATATTCCCTTTAACCTATACATTTTATATAACACTATAGCTAGGAAATGAACCAAAGTAGGAGAATCCCTACCTCTTGGAGCGTATAAGAAAAGGAGAAACCTCAAGAACCACTCCCAAGCCCCAAACCTTCGATTTCCCCAAAATCCACTCTTTGGATCTTCGGTGAAACCCTTCGTTCTTGGTACGTACGCATAGTCCTCGCCGCGTAGACAAACTTTAGTTCTTGGTCCGAATAATTCCGACCGACGAAACTCCGTAAATCGCTAGGAGAGAGATAGAAATTTGATTTTTTTTTCTCTCTTTCTCTCTTCCCTTCTCTTCCAACGTGTGGTGTGCTGAACAAGTGGGGAGAATATCTGATTTTCAGATATTTTAGCCCCAATTTATACTTTTAATTGCTCGGTCCACATTGTCCCGCTCGTTTATCACTTCCGGGTCTATTTTTTTTTAACCCGAAACGACTTAATTAAATTCCAGTTTCAGTTCAAATTAATTTTTTTTGAAATTTTATTCAATTATAAAGAAATTTCATAATTTCTATTTTTGGGGACCTTTAAAAATTCATTCGTCACCCAATTGTCTCGAAAAATATGTAAAATATGACTATCTCAGAATTTGACAAAAATTGACATGATAACTTAATTTCGTGATACGAATCCAACGGTGAGGTCCGTTGTGTGATCCGAGCTTTAGAAAAATACTGATTTTAAACCCGCATTATGGTGGCAATTTACCATTTTGCCCTTTTTTAAAAAAAAAATTAAAATTTATTCTGGTTTTACAGTCTTCCCCCCTTAAAAGAATTTCGTTCCCAAAATTCACACATACATACACATTCAATCACATGCATATGTAATAGTCATATAATACTAAATGACTGTAACAATGTACCTCCATCCTCGAATAAGAAAGAATAACTAGTACGGATAATGTCCTCGTGCTCCAATGTTGCCTCCTCCACTGCTCGGTGCTACCACAACACCTTCACTAGCCTCATGGTCTTGCCTCGCAAATCCTGATCCCGGCTATCCATGATGCGCACCGGTCCTTCCTCAAAGGTCACATCAGCATCAACCACAAGCTCTCCCCAATCCACCATATGGGTCGGATCCAGGGTGTATTTCTAGAGCATAGAGACATGGAATACCGCATGAATACCCAATAGATTTGGCGATAATGCCAACCAGTAAGCAACTGTACCTACCCTCTCGAGTACCTCGAAGGGCCCGATATACCTTGGCGACAGGTTTCCCCACTTGTCGAACCTGACCACTCCTCTTTTAGGCATCACCTTCAAAGAAGATATGATCTCCCACCTCAAACTGTAGATGTCGCCGCTGTTTGTCGGCTTAGCTCTTCTGCTAGCTCTGTGCCGTGAGAAGACGCTTCTGTATAAGGTCCACCTTCTCCGAGGTATCTCTAACCGAGTTTGGACTTGTAAAGGGTCTCTCTCCTATCTCCGTCCAACAAACCAGAGAATGGCAAGGCTTCTCATATAATGCTTCATAGGGTGCCATCTATACACTCGCTTAATAACTATTGTTATAGGCGAACTCTACCAAGGGCAAATGATCTTCTCAGCTATCTTTGAGATCTAGGACGCATGTCCATAGCATGTCCTCTAATGTCTGGATAGTCCTCTCTTACTGACCGTCCGTCTGGGGATGAAAAGTAGTGTTCATCATCAACTGTGTTCCCATGGCTCGTTGAAAATTCTCCCAAAATTGAGCCATAAACCTGGGATCCCGATCCGATACTATGGAAACGGGCACCCCATGCAATTGGACAATCTCCTGTATGTACAACCTATAAAATTCCTCCAAGGTGAAGGTCATCCGCACCACCAAAAAGTGTGCCAACTTCGTGAGCCGGTCCACAATCACCTACACCGCGTCATGTCCCCGCAATGTCCGTGGCAAGTGAGTCACAAAATCCATCGTGATATGCTCCCACTTCCATTCAGCTACCTCCAAGGGTTAGAGTAATCCCGCTGATCTCTGGTATTCAGGCTTAACCTGCTGACACGTGAGACATCGACTGACAAAGTCTCCAACAATCCCTCTTCATTCTGCTCCAATAATATTGGCGACGAAGATCATGGTACATCTTCGTCCCATCTGGATACACTGCAAATTAGGAACAATGGAACTCTCTAAGAACCTCCTCCCTGAGTTCCATTGACTGGGGAACCACAATCCTTCCCCTAAACTGAAGACTACCATCCGAGTGAATGGTCCAGCCCTCATCACTTGTACCTGCCTGTAGTTGGTCCCTGATGGACAATATATATGTGTCCCGTCCCTAGGACTCGATCATTCTGCTCAGTAAAGAATGCATAGCCACCAAACTTCCTAAAACACCTTGAGTCTGACCCATGTAACACAGCCCGAACTGTCCCACAGTCTCGAGCATCTACCAATCTCGAGAAGCCACACTAGCCATAACTTCTTGTGACTTCCGGCTGAGTGCATTAGCCACCACAGTTGCTTTAAGGCAAAATTAATAACCGCCAACTCCATGTCATGTGTGGGATAATTCTACTCGTGATTCTTTAACTGCCGAGAACCATAAGCCACCACCCTCTCGGACTGCATCAATACACAACCGAGTTCGTCCTTCGAGGCATCACAGTACACTGTGTACCTCTGTCCCCTTTTCGAAACTATCAGAATAGGAGCTGATGTAAGTCTCCTTTTCAACTCCTGGAATGCCTTCTCACAAGCATTATTCCACTCAAACTTGACCTCCTTCCAGGTCAACTTGGTCATGGGAGCAACTAATCGAGAGAAGTCCTTGATGAAGCTCCTATAGTACCTCGTCAATCCCAAGAAATTGCGTATCTCAAAGACTGACTTTGGTCTCCCCCAATTCATAACTGCTTCCACCTT